GAAGGACGAGTCTGGATTCTAAGGTTTTTCGGTCTTCAATCTTGTTTATTAATTCTTATCTATAATATTTTCTCTCTGCCCAGCCGAGGTCTGTTCAGCAGGACAGCCGAGTGCACTCTCCCCCGCCCATGGGACGGTTGTGTCTTTTATAGTGAAAATTACATCTATCATATTTACCTTTAATTCCCAATACTTTTCACCCTTATTGACAAGTGTACCTTCACCATGAACCAACCCAAAAGTGCCAACATCATCACACAAAATGGAAGACATGAAGAAGAAAGAAGAACCCGCGACCACACCCCGAATCCTCCATCTTGTCTTCATGACCCCCCCGTACCTAATTTCTAAAATCTATACTTCACCCTGTAAATACACTATTCACACCCTAGAACTTCTCATTTCCTCATCCACTTATGTTTCATCTCTAGATGGATCCAAGTCAAGCCACCAGACAGTTTTGGCAGCATTCCAAGGTCTCCGAGGCCCCCAAGGGTTCTCTCGGTGACTCTGGACATTCGGAGTGATGAGTTCCCACACCACAGAATACAACTTGGCCCCCCTTTCTCTCAGGGTGATGGTCGTGCTCAGTGAGCAGCTGGGAGTAAGACTGGGGGGCACTGGGGGGACCGTGGGATCGGGGTTCTGGGGGGCGAGCAATAAGACAGAGAATAGAAAGTTTCAGTTCCCCTGAATTTTCTGGATAGGGCATAAGGATGAGCTAGCAAAAAACCACGGAAGGATGAAAAAGTGTGGACACAGCAGGGCTAGAACCCGCGGAGGAACAGAAAAAGGGAACTCCACTGAGGGTCTTTTTGACAGGTTCTGGACCACAGAAGGAGCAGAGCCTGCCCGAAATAAAAGTTTGAGGCGAGGTCATCAGGGATATTGGGGCACTCAGTGAAAATCACGCTGAGAAACCTCATTTTTAGGACACTCGAGGACCATAAAAGGATTTTCAGAAAGAGGCGGAGCCATGCAACTTATTTCTAGGAAAAGTGAAGTTTCTTTGCTTTGCTTGGTAAGGGACAGATTTTAATGAATATTTATAATTGTGGTGGATAAATACACCATGGCAAAGTCCCCCCTGAGCTGCAGGACCAGGAGAGATCTGCTGTTGAGTCCAAGCTGGTAAAGAATTCCAGCTTTGTGGTACCTCCAGTTCCGTCAGGGAGCTCACTCCGGCCGATTTTGGTATTGGGGCTGGGGGGACTCCAGGGGACACTCGAGGGGGACATGGGACTGTGGGATTGCGGACGTGGCGGTGACACGGGGGGAGCCACAAGGCTGTGATCGAGGTCATGGGGTGCTCTGGGGGAAAATGGGGGGGGACACGGGATGGTGAGAGTGGGATTGGGGTCATGGGGGGGCTGGGAGACACTGTGGGGGCAGGGCGAGATGCCAGGATTTGGATTGAGGTTCTGAGGTGGCATTGAAGAAATCGGAGACTGAGAGTGGGATTGGGGTCTGGGGACTGGCTGAGGAGGACACTGGGGGGCTCAGGGAGTGACCCCAGGATTCGGGTTGGGATTCTGGCAGGGCTGAGAGGATTTGTAGTCATGGGAGTAGGGTTGGGCTTCTGGGGGGGCTATGATACTGTGGGATTGGCATTGGGGTCCCTGGGGGCTGGGGGATTTTGGGGACACATAAGTAACCCCAGGATTTGGGGTCAGGGACCCCAGACATGCCCAGGGGTCTGCTGGCCAGCAGTGCCTCCCTTCCCCCTGGGCTGACCCCCCTCCCCTGCCCAGTCCCTCACTGAGGAACCCTCCTCGTGTCTCTTCTGTGTCCCCTCTGTGTCCCCCAGTGTCCCGCCCTGCTCCCTGTGGCCTCTCCTCTCCATGGACCCCCTGGCTCAGACCCTGGCACTGCTGGCCATGGCCACCATGGCCACCAAAGCCATCGAGGTGATCCCCCTGGACATGGCCCCAGACTCCTTCGATGACCAGTACCGGGGCTGCGGCCCTGCCATGACCGCGGCGTTGCCGGCCCTCAACCGCTCCGAGTTCCAGCAGAACCCTCTCTTTGCCCAGGCCTGGCCTAAGGCCATAGCCGAGTGGCAGAGTCGGGGGTCCCCTCTGTCCCCTCTGTCGTCCCCAGCCCAGGCCATCGCCCTCATGGCCTACACGATGAATGACCTGTACGAACAGTTCAACGCGGCCGTGCGCGCGGCCGGGCGCTCCCGCCGGGAATACCGGGACAACTTCCACTTCAAAACGCTGCATTTCCTGCTGAGCCAGGCCCTGGTGACGCTGAGGGACGCTCAGAGTTTGGGGTGTCCCAAGGTGTACCGGGGGGTGCGCAAGTACCAGTTCAAGGCAGAGCGTGGTGACATTGTCCGATTCGGTCAGTTCTCGTCGGCGTCACAGAGTGAAGAAACTGCTGAGATGTTTGGGGATGCCACGGTGTTCCAGGTGCGCACGTGCCACGGTGTGGAAATTCAGGAATTCTCCAAGTATCCTGGTGAGAAGGAGGTGCTGATCCCACCCTTTGAGACCTTCGAGGTCATTGAAATCAGTCAGAAAGGAGACAGGGTGAGGATCGAGCTGTGCTCCACCGGGACCTTCAGCAAATACAACTGCGAGTGGCTGCGAGGTGACAGCCTGGGGCGATGGGGACACCCACTGTGGCCATGGGGACACCAACAGTGGACATGGCACACCCATGACAGGGCACAGAGGGTGGGGATACTCACTGAGAGTTTGGGGACAGGGACACCCCATGCTGGGGACACCAAGTTTGGGGACCTCCATTGTGGGCATGGATACAGGAACACCCATGACAGGGCACTGGGATGGGGACCCCCACATCTGAGAGGGGACAGGGACAGTGACAAAGACAGGGATGCCCCCATTCCCATCCCGTCCCTCCCCACCAAAGGCAGTGCTGTGGGGATGGGCCCCGTGTGCTGGATGTGGGTGGGCTGGGAAGCCCCATGTCACTCCCTGAACCCCTGTCACCCCCTGTCACCCCCCATGTCATCCCCTGACTACCCCTGACCCCTGTCACCCCTAAGCACACCAAGACCCCCCTGGCCTCCCTGGTGCCTGTATGCCCTGTGTCCCCCTGACACCCTGTCACCTGCCACCTCATGTCACCTCTCCTGCCACCCCTAACCTCAAACCGCAGCTCCAGGAGATGAGCGGGTAAAGAGGGAAAATCCCCGATTTGAAAGAAAAATGAGTTTCCTGAGCTAAACACCAGGGTTTTTGTTATAAATAAATGGGTGGTGCTGCCTCAGTCCCCTTTTCTCCATTTTATTTTTCATCCTCCTTCATTCTGTTTGTTTTTCTTTGTTTCCTCCCAATGCTTTTTCTGAAGTGTTTCCTCAAATCAGGAACATTGGAACTGGCCCCAAACTGATTATTCATCCTTTTTTGATTGCACTGAGCAGCTCCCACCAGCTCCCTCAGCCCTTCCTGGTGCTCCAGACCCTTCCCCAGCTCCATCCCTTCCCTGGACATGCTCCAGCCCCTCCAGGTCCTTTGTGAGGGGCTGCAGTGAACAAAGAAAAAGGGAGGAACATTTCTCCAGCACCTCTTTGAAGATCGAAGTTTGAAAATTAAAGCTTTGAGTTGCCTCTAACAAAAACTCCAGGAAATGCTTTGTTTTAGGAAATGAGGCGCCCTGCAGGAAAGGCGTTAAAGGAGCTGCAGCGGTTACACTGGGTGAGCCAGCAGCAGATTTTGGTAAACTTTTGATATGCCAGACAAGCAAAAATCAAGTTTTTGATACAGTTTTTATACACAAGCTGAGCAAGCAGCAATTTATTGCTACATCAGGCGAGGCAGCCAAGGAGCGTTAGGAGGTGGCCGTGACATTGCCACTCCCAGTGCCACCCCCTCTATCAGGAAGTGCCCAAGCGGCCCCAGAGCTGCCCAGTCTGTGGCTCCAGCGCTGCCCAGTCTGTGCTGTCCGTGCTGTCCTGAGCTGTCCTGGCTGCTCCAGCTCCCCTCGTGCTGGTCCTGCTGCCATGGCACCGCTTCCTCACTGGGCAGCTCTTGGAAGGGCTTTTCCAGGATGGATGCCTTGGTACAGTGACCATGGTGGCCACGCTGGCAATAATGGCCACTGTGGTCACAGTGGACAAAGTGACCATAGTGGCCATAATGGCCTCGGTAGCCTTGGTGGCCTCCTTTCTCTGGGGGTCCTGGTGGCCTTCGTGACCATGGTGGCCACACTGGCACCCAAGACCACAGTGACCTTGGTGGCCTCGTGGCTTAGAGGGTTCCAATGGCCACTGCCATGGCCACGGTAGCCAGGAGAAGCCCCCCAAAGTGGGGGGAGTTCCTGGGGAGACTCCCACCTGTGGGGACAAAGAGAGGGGTCAGGGGGATAATGAGGTGAGAGGGTCGGGGGGCATCAGGAGGGCCATGGGGGATGGACAGAGGTGGTGGGTGGCCCTCAGGGTGTGGGGTCAGAGGGGGCCATAACAAGGTATATTTCCCCTGTACCCAGCCATGTACCACATACCTTGTCCCCCCAACCCCAGCACTGGATGTCCCTGTCCCCCTCACCTGGCACTGGCTGTCCCCATCCCCTGTGCCAAGCAAAGCTGTCCCTGTCCTTGTCCCCAGCGCTGGGTGCCCTGCCTCCCACCCACAGTGGGTGTCCCCGTCCCCTTTAGGCCATGGGTGTCCCTAGCACCATGTGTCCTTGTCCCCAACCCTCAGTGAGTGTCCCCATCCGCCCAGGCTGTTCCCATGATGTCACCTCGCAGCCACTCGCAGTTGTAGTTGCTGGAGTTCCCAGTGGAGCGAAGCCCAATCACCTTCTTCCCTTCCCCGGTGACTTTGGTGACCTCAAAGGTCTCGAAGGGTGGGATCAACACCTCACGGTTGCTAGGATTGTAGGAAAAAGCCTGGATGTCCACGCCGTGGCACGTGTACACCTCAAACATTGTGTCTGTCCCATAACCCTGGGCCACGTTTTTGTCCCGCGACGATGAAGCGAATTGGCCGAAGCGGACTTTATTGCCAAGTTTTGCATCGAACTGGACATCCCTCACCCCTCGGTACACGTCCAGACACTCATTAGGGCGTCTCAGCTTCTGCAGGGCCTGGGTCAGCAGGAAATGCAGCGTTTTGAAGTGGAAGTTGTCCCGGTATTCCCGGCTGGAGCGTCCAGCCTCGCGCACGGCGGCGTTGAACTTCTGGTACACGTCCTCCATCGTGTAGGCCATGAGGGCGATGGCCTGCTCTTTGCTCAGAGTGGACGAATGGGAGCCCCGCTTCTGCCACTCGGCCGTGGCCTTCACCCAGACCTGGGAAAACTCCTTGTTCTCCTGGAACTCGGAGCCGTTGAGGGCCGGCAAGGCCTCAGCCATGGCAGGGCCACAGTTCAGGTACTGGTCATCAAAGGAGTTCTGGGCCATGTCCAGGGGCACCACCGTGATGGCCGCAGTGGCCACGGTCATGGCCAGCAGTGCCAGGGTCTGAGCCAGGGGGGCCATGGCGAGAAGAGTCCAAAGTGACCACTGTGGGACACTGGGGGACACAGAGGGGACACAGAGGACAGACTGTGTGACACAGGGAGGACACTGGGGGACACCAGGGGATGCTGAGGGGACACCAATGGGACAGAGGGCACTCTGAGGGACAAGGCAGGACATGGGGAGGCTTCCTTGGCGAGGGGCTGGGGAGGAAGAGTGGGGTCAGCCAGGGGAGGGGGGCAGCGCTGGCCAGGAGACCCCTGGACAAGTCCTGGAACCTGATCCCGAATCCTGGGGTCACTCCTGGATGCCCCAGTGTCTCCCAGACTCTCAATCCCACTCCCATAGTTCTGTGTCCCCCCCTCCCAGTGTTTCCAGGCGCCTGTTACCCCAATCCCTCTCCCAGTCCCTTGTACCCCTCCCAGTGACCCCATGTCCCCCAGGACCCTGAAACAAGGCCTGCGGTCCCCCAGTGTCCCCCTTGTCCCCAACCCATACCTCAATCCCACTGCCAGTCCCATGGTGACCCCTGGACACCGACCCAGTCTTATGCGCCCCCAAGTGCCCCCCAGTGCCCCCAGTACCCCACTGCCACTCCATGGTCCTGTGCCCCCCATCATTGCACCTGGACCAGCCCAGGACTTCAGTCCCTGCACTGTGACACCCCCAGTGCCCCCCCAGACCCCAATCCCACAGTCCCCTGTTCCCCCCCACAAGGGTCCCCCAGTCCCCAGTACCGAAATTGGTCGGCGAGAACTCCCTGATGGAAGTGGAGGTATCACAAAGCCGGAATTCTTTCTCAGCTCGGACTCACAGCAGATCTCTCCTGGTCCTGTAGGTCAGGGGGGATTTTGCCATGGGGTATTTATCCATCATAATTATAAATATTCATGAAAACGTGTTCCTTGTCTAAAACAGAAACCAGCACTTTTCCCGTAAATAATCTGCATGGCTCTGCCTCTTTTAGGAAATAATTTTTATTGTCCTGGAGAGTCATAAAAATGAGGTGTCAGTGTGTGATTTTTCACTGAGTGCCCCAATATCTCAGATGACCTCGCCTCAAACTTTTGCTTTTGCAGGCACTGCTCCTTCTGTGTTTCAGAACATGCCAAAAAACCCCTCACAGGAGTTCCTTTTATCTGTTCCACCACCGGTTCCAGCAACCTTTGCCCTGCTGTGCACACACTTTACATCCTTTTATTGTTTTTTGCCCATTCATTTTGAGCAGTAACCGGCACCATTAAGGGATCTGAAACTTTCTGTTCTCTCTCTTAACATCAGGGCCATCTATCAGTTACAGAACACATGCCTTTCCACAGAAGTCCAAATCAAAGGTCATTCTGGGGCCTCCTTTGTGGGGGAGACTTCAGGAGACCTGTGGGGTGCTCTTGAAAACAACTCTGCATCAGCCAGGATTGGCCCAGGTGAATGTGGGCCATAGCAGTGACTGTTCTCATCCAAGAGGCCAGGAAATCCAATTTGGAACAAAAGCTTATGATATATACTCAGCTCACTGTAACTGCAAGAAGATGTGGAACAAGGAGAGGAGCTCGATGTGTTACAAAGAGCTCTGGAATTGGCAGCAGAAAAAGAGCAAAAAGAGGAACTCACTTGCCATCTGCTTCGAGCATTGCTCATGCCCATGGAGCCATAGGGAAAGAAAGAAGTCAATAAACAGCACAAGGATTTCCAGTTAAATACAAACAAGAATGATTGTCCCTCCTCGATTGCATCCAGCTGCCCAAAGGAGTGGCCGTGCTGCAATCCAGGGCACACCAGCTTCAGGACAGAAAAATCCGTTTGGGAAATAGACTCGCATTAAAGGTGCACGAGAGGTTCCTCAACAAAGCATCCTGGCGTTAATTCCTGAGAATTCTTCTGATGGTTTCACGGCCAGAAGTGAGGCCTGGATAGAGTTGGGCAGGTTGAAAATTGGCTGCTTGTCTGAAAGCCCACAATAAAGAGGCTGGGTGGGTGGGTGGGTGAGGGGTAACTCCCAATAACCAGGTCAGGCCCTCCCCAGCGGATGCTGCAATTTGTAAAGGAGAAAAGCACAGCAGAGCTCTGGGGAATCGATGCGATGGGGACTCATCTGTGGCCTCAGATCCTCAGTGTCCATAGGACAAAACTCTCAGGTCTGTTACAGAGCAGTGTCCAATATGTTTTCAAAAGAGCCCTTTGAATTCAAAACCATCCCCTCCAGGCAGCACTGAAAGAGGAAACAATCCCAATGATACCTGGCAAATGGATTTTCTGAGCTGCCACACCAACATGGGCTCAGGTATCTCCTGGTGTTGGTGGATCCCTTTTTTGGGCTCCAGAACTCTTTCTGCCACACCAACAAGGCCAGGGAAGCCATCCCCCAAGAGATCACCCCAAGGCTGAAGGTGCCTACGGGGATGTCATCCGATAGGGGACCCCAATTCTTATCTGAGGTGTGTCAGCAACTCAGTGAGCAGCGGGGAGTGGGACTGGGAGGAACTGGGGGAACATGGGACGGTGGGATTGGGGTCGTGGGGGGTGGGCAATAAGAGAGAGAATTGAAAGTTTCAGATTCCTTAATGGTGCAGGATTATGGGGTTGGGGGCCGGGGGGGGAGCTGTGGGGGCCCCTGGGGGAGAATGTGACATGGGACTGGAATCCTGGGGGAAGCTGGGGGACACTGGGGGACATGCCACTGGGATTCGCTGGGCTTTAGGAGGCATTGGGACGAGGCAGGGGGCTGGGAGTGGGACTGGGGCCATGGGAAGGCCGGGGGACACTGCAGGGAGCAGGGGGTGATGCCCAGATTTGGACTGGGGTCCTGGGAGGGAGTGAAGGGACGCTGGGGAAGGACTCAAGACTGTGGGTGTGAAATTTTGATCCTTGGAGGGACTGGAGGGCACGGGGACATCCAGGAGTGACCCCAGGATCTGAGATCAGGCTCCCAGGATGTGTACAGGGATCTCTTGGCAAAGGCTGCCCTCCCCCCGGGCTGACACCACCCTCCTTCCCCCGTCCCTGACTGAGGGACCTTCCCTGTGTCCCTCCATGTCCCTCTGTGCTCCCCCATGTCCCCTCAGCATCCTCTCGGTGTCCCATCAGTGTTCTGCCACGTTCCTCAGTGTTCCCTCTGTCCCGCAGTGTCCTCTCAGTTTCCCAGTGTCCCCCAGTGTCCCACACTGCTCATGGTGGCCTCTCCCCTCTCTGGATCCCCTGCTTTGGACCCTGGCACTGCTGGCAATGACCACGGCCACCGTGGCCATCACGGTGGTGCCCCTGGACATGGCCTGGGACTCCTTTGATGACCAGTACCGGGGCTGCCAAAGAGCCATGACCGAGATTTTGCCGGCCCTCAACCGCTTTGAGTTCCAGCAGAATCCTCTGTTCGCCCGGGTCTGGGTGAAGGCTGCGGCCGAGTGGTGGAGGCGGGGGCCCCCTGTGACCCCTCTGTCCCCAGCCCAGGCCGTCGCCCTCATGACCTACACAATGAAGGACGTGTACAAGGAGTTCAACGACGCCGTGCGCGCGGCCGGGCGCTCCCGCCAGGAATACCACAACAACTTCCACTTCAAGACGCTGCATTTCCTGCTGACCGACGCCCTGGCGACACTGAGGGACGCTCGGGGACCGCGATGTCACCATGTGTTCCGGGGGGTGCGCGGGGTGCGGTTTGAGGGGCGGCGCGGCGACACCGTGCGCTTCGGTCGATTCACGTCGACATCGCTGCGTAAACAGATCGCTCAGCAATTTGGGACAGACACGGTGTTCCAGGTGGAGACGTGTTACGGCGTAGACATCCGAGAATTCTCCTCCAATCCTGGTGAGGAGGAGGTGCTGATCCCGCCCTTTGAGACCTTCGAAGTCACGGGTGTCACCCAGGAAGGGGACAGGGCGTTGATCCAGCTCCGCTCCAGCGGGACCTTCAGCAGATACAGCTGCGAGTGGCTACGACATGACATCACAGGGAAAACCCGGAGGACAGGGACACCCACTGTGGGTATGGGGACATCCCTGATAAGGCACGGGGGACAATGACACCCACAGGTGATGGGGGGCAGGGACAGGGACACCCATGACATGGCACAGGGATGGGGACCCCCACATCTGGGAGGGGCAGGAGCACCCCTTCCACAGCAGGTCAGGGACAGGGATGGGGAAAGGGGCAGAGACAGGGACCACCCTGTGCTGACTCTGTCCCTGCTCTCTGCAGACCAGCTCTGTGGGGACCGGCCCTGTGTGCTCAATGCAGGTGGGCCAGGACCATCCTGACCCCCCCAACCCTCTCACACCCCCCTGACCCTGCTCATGGCACCCCCTATATACCCTGACCGCTGTCAGTCCTAAAGCCCACCATGTCCCCCCTGACACCCCTTGCTCCCTGTATTACCCCACTGCCCCCCTGACACCCCATCATCCCTAAAGCACCCATGGGCCCCTGACCACCAATCTCCCTCCTGGGACCCGGCCACTGGTCACCCCCAACCCTCCTACCAGCCACGGGCCCCATCTCTCCTCACCCTGTGTTACCGACCCCTCTGAAACTGTGACACAACCCATGGCCCTCCTGGCCACCCTGATCCCCCCACCATGGTCCTCCATCCAACCTGATCCCTCCTCATGGCCCCCCCATACCCCTGTAATCCCTGACCCCTCTCTGACCCCCTTCAACCCCCTCACCTGCATGGACCACTCATCCCCTGCTTTTTCCTCCAAGGTAGGAGCATCCCCAGGGCCCCCTCCCACCTCAGAGGGCTCCTCCTGGCCACTACAGCCCTGGCAGTGGCCACCAGGATTGTCTGAGCCACGAGGCAACGAAGGTCACTGTGGTCTCCACGATCACCAAGGCCACCAGGACCCCCAGAGAAAAGAGGCAGCCAAGGGTACCAAGGCCACCACTGCCATTTTCCCTGGGTGAAAAAGTGGAAGAGAAGAGAAAAAGAAAATCCTACTTACTCCCCACCCCGCAACATTTCATTAACTGCCCTTTCAACTTCTTTGGACATTCATTTATTTGCATTCTTGCCCAAATTCTGTGTTTTCCCACATATTCAGTATTTAAAGCCAAGCAAACTCTATTTCCACATCCCAATTAATTCAACCTAGAAAGAAATAAGAGGAATGTTTTTTTACAAACAGATTGTGTGGATCTGGTGGTAGTTAAGGCCTGGGACTTGTAGTTAAGAAAGTGACTGGAGAAACTATCAGTTTCAGAAAATGCTCCTCATTGACATGGACCGCAGCTCAGCCAAGGTCCTGGGAAATTCCTGAACTTTGAGAAGAAGAACAAAGACTTAACACACTTAGGAATATTGATTTCCCCACTCAGGGTGAAGTTAAAGCTCATTTTAGTGGTCATGTTTCTGTGTTATAGAAGAGTAAGGTGCATAGCAAGGGGGACGTGCGGTAGCTGGATTGGGAAGTCTGCACCTTCCGAATACCTCTGCCAATGGGGAAGGGGAGTGGGAGATACGGCTGGGAAATTGGGATAAAAAGGAGGCTGCATCATCCAGCAATTTGAGAGACCCCATGGGGAAATTCCCCGTGGCCTCTCGCTTTTTTCATGAATAAAATTACAAGACTCTTGTGTCTCCTTTGTGCAAGGAAACCTCTTGCAAGGTGAATTTTTCTGCTCAAATGTTCGATAGCAAAAATGTTGTTCCACTTGAATCATAAGCGCTATGCTTAGCTGCAGCCAGACTCTCAGCCACAAAATGGCAGCTCTGCCTTTTATACCTCCGGTATTGAATCAGCCAAATACATATGCATAAGCAGTCATACATGTGAAAAAAAATTTGTTCTATATCCCTGAGCCCTCCCAAAGCCGGCCAGTTGACGCTTCCTTGCTGTCTATTGGTGGAGACCTTCCTGCAGTCTGATTGGAGGTGAGGTTTTTGTCATGCCACGCCTCCCCAGCAATAGCTTCTCCCATTCCCAATGCCCAGTGCCAGGGACACAGGTACACGCCCTCCGTCCACGTATCCCTGACAGCCCTGGAAACCAGGGCCGTCCAGTGGCAACAATACAGAGAGGGGGAAAGGGGACTGTGAGGAGAGCAGTGGGTGTCCAAACAACTACAATAACATAACCATGCATCAACAAAACTTCTCTTAACATAGACACAATATTCATCCCTCAATTGGAAGAGTCAATCGTCATATTGCCCATCTATACCAAAGCTGTGGCTGCCCCGTCCCAGGAAGGGTCCAAGGCCAGGCTGGGTGGTGTCTGGAGCAGCCCGGCCCGGGGAAGATGTCCCTGCCCGTGGCAGGGCTGGCACCGGCCGCGCTTTAAGGTCGCTCCATCCCAAACCATTGCAGAGCCCCCGGGGCCGCCATGGGGCGGGGCGGGGCTCGGCAGCGCCAGCAGCTCGTGCTGCCGCCTGCTGTTGGCACCCGGAACTGCAGCCGGCAGCGGCGCATGCGCAGTGCCGCTGATTTAAACCGCCCTCGCTGCTGCCCTCCTGTGGACAATTCCCGAACCGCAGCTGCCAGAATCCCCAAATCCCAGAATGGGTCAGGCTGGAAGGACCCAGAGTGGGCACCTGGCCCAACCTCCCAGCTCAGGCAGGGTCATTGCTGAGCATGGGATTGGGTCAAGACCAGCCTAGAACTGGACACAGCACTGGGCAGAGCTGGACATGGCACTGGATAGAGCTGGTCAAAGCACTCCTGATGTGCCTCCCTTGGAAGGGCAGGGACAGAACACTAGCTGACCTCCTGGCCTTGCTCTTCCCAACATCCCCTGGATCTGTCCTGGTTACAGGCCACATGGCCAGCTCCACTGGTCACCCACCATCATGCCAGGTCCTTCTCCAGAGCTGCTCCAGCAGGTCCCCCCCCTGCCTGGAGAGGAAAAGGGGACTGTCCCTTTCCAGGGGCAGGACCTGCCCTCCCTCTCTTGAACCTCCCAATTTCACAGAACAACAGAATCACAGCATATATCCAGGCTTTAAGGTCCCCCTGAAGTGGCAGGATGCTCTGCCTGGAATATGACCAAGGGTTAATGCCCCATTTGTGGCCATTGGGGCTGCACTGAGTGCAGCCTGGTCTGGTGCTATTTTTGCTGCTGAATTGTCCCAAAACCAGCTCAAACACCCAACCCCGAATTGACAACTGAGGATGAAGCACCAGAGCTGGGCGTGGCTGTGCATCATCTGACCCTGGGAATGTCCAGTCCCCCCTCAGACAGAGATTCCTCTCCCCTGTTCCTGCTTGGAATGAAATGCCTGTGAGGTTCCTGCCTCAGGAAGGGAATGCTCCCCAAGCATTCTCCCCAAGGCTGAGAGAAAGACATGCTCCCACGAGTGTTGGTGTGGGAAGTGACATTGAGCCCTGCTTAGGAATTGTCACTTTTGGATGGCTGTGGACAGATCAATTTGGACAGATTTACTTAATAGAATTGTTTTGATAATATTATTTAATAGAATTGCTTTGCACAATGGCCTTGCTGGCCACATTGGTCACAGTGGCTGTGGTATCCTTGTGGCTCCTGCAGTCCTGATGATCAAGGTGGTCGCAGTGGCCTTGGTGGTTATTGTGACCATGGGGCCAGAGTGGCTGTGGTGGTCGCAGTTGCAACAGTGGTAGTGGTGGCCCCGGAGACCTCATGGTGGCAATAACTGCCAAGGCGGTCATAGTGGCAGTGCTGGCCTCGGTAGCTTTTGGGGTCTTATTTCCCTGGGGGTTTTGGTGGTCTTGCTGATGATGGCGGCCACAGGGATGGAGTGACCTTGGCATCCGTGGTGGCCATGGGTGCCACAGGGACCACAGTGGCCACAGTGACCACAGTGACCACAGTGAGCCTCATACCCTGGTGGCCTTGTGGCTCAGAGGATCCTGGTGGCCACTGCCAGGGCTGTGGTGGCCAGGAGGGCTCCTCTGAGGTGGAAGGGGGCCACGGGGATGCTCCTTTGACCTGGGGGACAAAGAGGTGGGTCAGGGGGACCAGGGAAGGAGTGAGGTGGTCAGGGACAGCCATAATGGGGGGTTAGGGGTGACAGGAGAGATGGAAACCATGAGGTGACCAGTGACAAGGTGTCAGGGAGGGGTATGGGGTCCGGGGGTGTAAGAGGTATCAAGGTGGGCTTAGAGGTGACAGGGGTTAGGGGTAGTCGGAGGTGCCATAGCAGGTGGCAGGGGGTGACAGGGTTTCAGGAAGTGACCTGGAGGGTTCTGGTCTGCCCACGTCCAGCACACAGGGCCCGACCCCACAGAACTGCCTTTGGTGGGGAGGGACAGGCTCAGTACGGGGATGTCCCTGTTTCTGTTTCTGTATCTGTCCCTGTCCCTGGCCTTACCTGGCAGGGATGTCCCTGTCCCGGTGCCCCCCCGATATGGAAGTCCCCTTCCCTGTGCCCTGTCATGGGTGTTCCTTTCCCTATGCCCGCAGTGGGTGTCCCCAGATTGTTGTCCCCAGCATGGGGTGTCCCTGTCCCCAAACTCTCAGTGAGTGTCCCACAGGTGGCAGGGATTCCTGTGTCCTTTCATGCCAACAGTGGTTGTCCCCAGCACTGGGTGTCCCACTCCCCATACTGTCAGCGGGTGTCCCCAGCACTGGGTATCCCTGTCTTTGTCCCCAGCTGTGGGTATCCTTGTCTGCCACAGTGGTTGCCCCGTTGCTGTCCCCCATCTGCAGTGAGAGTCATGGTCCTCTGGGCCTTATCATGGGTGACCCCAAGGCCACAGTGGTTGTCTGCATCCCCCCCGGCTGTCCCCTGTGGTCACCTCACAGCAACGCGCAGTTGTATTTGCTGAAGGTCCTGGCAGAGCGGAGCCAGATCCATGTCCTCTTCCCATCCCAGATGATTTTGGTGACCTCAAAGGTTTCGAAGGGTGGGATCAGCACTTCTCCTTCCCCTGGATACATGGAGAACTTCCGGATGTCCACACCATGGCACGTGTGCACTTGGAATATTGTGTCTGTCCCAAACTGCAGAGCAATCTCTTTGCTCAGCGACGTCGATGTGAATTGACCAAACCGGACCCTCTGGCCACGCTGTGCCTTGAAATTAACATCACGCACGCCCCGGAACACGCTGTGACACTGCCCATTCTGGGCATGCCTCAGTGTCACCAGTGCCTGGGTCAGCAGGAAATGCAGAGTTTTGAAGTGGAAGTTGTCCCGGTATTCCTGGCGGGAGCGCCCGGCCACGTGTACAGCTGCATTGAACTCCTTGTACAGGTACTTCATTGTGTAGGCCATGACAGCAACAGCCTGGGCTGGGGACGCCAGAGGGGACACAGGGGAGCCCCTCTTGCGCCACTCAGCCTCGGCCTTCACCCAGGTCTGGGCAAAGAGAGGATTCTTCTGGAACTCAAAGTTGTAGAGGGATGGCAATGCCTTGGTCATGGCAGGGCCACAGCCCCGGTACTGGTCATCGAAGGAGTCCTGGGCCATATCTAGGGGCACCACCTTGACGGCTGCCGTGGCTACGGTCATTGCCAGCAGTGCCAGGGTACGAGCCAGGAGTGCCATGGTGGGGAGGGGCCACCAGGAGTTGTGTGGGACACTGGGAAACAAAGAGGGACAAACAAAGGGGACACTGAGGTGACACCGGGGTACGTGGGAAGGATTCCTCAGTGTGGGGCTGAAGAAGGGACCTGGGGTCAGCCCTGGGTGAGCAGAGGAGGCAGCCCTAGACAGAAGAGCCCTGGACGCATCCTGGGATGCTGATCCCACATCCTGGGGTTTTTCCTCCACTGCCCAGTGTCCTTCAGACCCCCAGGACAACAATCCCACTCCAATGCTCCCATGTCTCCAACCACTGGTGTCCTCCTAGTGACCCCCAGAACTTGATCCAAATTCTGGGGTCACACCCTGTCCCCCCAGCAGTGACACCCCGGATCCCACCTCTGTGCCCCCCTCCAGTGTTGTCCCTGTGCCCACCAGCCCCACAACACCACTGCCAGTCCCATGTCTCTTCCCCCCTAATGTCAACCCACCCCCTCCACTGTTCCCCAACCCAAACCCTGGGGACAATCCCTGACCTCCCCAGTATCCCCTCAGTACTCCACCAGTCCCCAGTCCCAATCCCAGTCCTGTGTTTATCCTTCTGATGTCCCCCCAGTGCTCCCCAGGAACTCAGTCATGCTCCCACACCTCTTTAGACCTCTTGTGATCCCAGGACCCTCAGGAACCTCACTCAAATTCATAAAGCCACTCCCTCACCCTCACCACTGTCCCACTCAGCCCTCTCCCACACACAAGATCGGCTCCCAGTCCCATGAGTCCTTCGGTGTCACCCCGGGACCCCAAGTCAAATCTGGGGATCACCCCCTGTCCCCACAATGTCCCACGGGAGCCCTCCGTGGCCTCAGTCCACAATCCCAGTCCCATGTTCCACCCTCGAGTGTCCCCAGTGTTCCCCTAGTCCCCAATACCGAAATTGGCCCGAGTGAACTCCCTGATGGAAATGCAGGTATCAGAAAGCCGGAATTCTTTATCAGCTTGGAATCACAGCAGATCTCTCCTGGTCCTGCAGCTCAAGGGGGGGACTTTGCCACAGGGTATTTATCCCCCATAATTATGAATATTCATTACAATCAGCTTCTTATCTCCTACAGAAACAGCATTTTCTCAAGAAATAATTTGCATGGCTCCACCTCTTTCTGCAAGTTCTTTTATGGTACTGGAGGGCCATAAAAATGGGGTCTCTGGGGGCCATTTTCACTGAGTGCCCCAATATTCCAGATGACCTCACCTGGAACTTTTCCTTTGTGGATGTGCTGCTCCTTCTGTGTTATAGAACTTGCCAAAAAACGCTCACTCAAGTTCCCTTTACCTATTTCTCCATGGGCTTCAGCCATGTTCATCCTGCACATCCACACTTTTTACACACTTTTCATGCTTTTGCTAGTCAGTCTTCAAGCTCTATCCAGTGCCTTCAGGGGAACTGAACCTTTCTATTTTATTTCTATCAACTGACATTTCAGAGGACCTGTGGGGTGCTTTTCCAAACAACTCAATCAGCCAGGATTGGCCTAGATGAACGTGAGCTGTAGCAGAGACTGTTCTCCTCATCCATGAGGCCAGGAAATCCAATGTGGAACAAAAGTTTACGGTATATACTCTGCTCACTGTAACTGCAAGAAGATGTGGAACAAGGACAATAAAGAGGGTGTGGTTAATCCCAGTAGTCTCCACGTTCATCCTGCATATCCACAATTTTACTTCCTTTTCTTGCTTTTGCCAGTCAGTCTTTCAACTCTGCCTAGCGCCTTCAGGGGTACTGACACTTTCTTTTCTTTCTCCTCTTTCGTACCCCCAGCACCCCAATCCTGCTCTGAGTGCCCCACATCCCCCTAGTGCCCCCCACTCCCACTCCCCACGGCTCACTGAGTTGCTGCCACACCTCAGATACCAAATGGGGTCCTCTATCAGATGAAATCCCTGTAGGCACCTTGAGCCGGGAGACGATCTCTTGGGAGAGTACCTGGGTGACTTCCCTGGCCTCGTTGGTGTGACAGGAGAAGTTCTGGACCCGCCAAGAAGGGATCCACCAACACCAGGAGATACCTGAGTCCACGTTGTCATGGTAGCTCAGAAAATCCATTTGCCAGTTATCATTGCCTCCACTTTTAATGAAGAGATGGGACTACCGTTGGGCTACCGTTGGATTTATTGCTCAGATAAACATCAGTCTCAGAGGCCGTGAGATTTTAGAGGAGCAGGCAGTCGGGCATAGCACAAAGTAGTCACAAGTTCTTTGTTGCAAGACACTATGTAACTTTCTAATCCGATGGTCAGTTATTTTGCTTTTATGACCTATCACCTTCACTCACGTCTACTGCACTGCAGATGTTTTTGCCCTTGGGCTTCTAACTCACGTGCACACCTTTGCTTCTATTATAACCCTTAAACTCTTCACTTTCTCTATGCAATCACATTACTGTACTATAGACCCTTCACCATGTTACCCAATACAGTTTCTCACTTACTTGAGGCATATTCTTACTCACAACTATAGAAACATAAGTTTAGGATTTCTCTACTTAATGTCAGTGTACTTTATTCTTACATCAATTCAAGCTCCTTTCAAGGCTGCAGATCAAACCCTCCCTCCTGAATGCGTGGAAGTTTCTATCTTTCCATTTCCCACAGTCAGTAAGCCCAGGAGTGCTTCCTCTTTCAGTGATGCCTGGAGGTGATGGCACTGAATTCAAAGGACTCTTTCGAAAACATGTCGGGCATTGCTCTATAACAGACCTGAGAGTTTTGTCCTATGGACACTGAGGATCTGAGGCCACAGATGAGTCCCCATCACATCGATTCCCCAGAGCTCTGTTGTGCTTTTCTCCTTTACAAATTGCAGCATCCGCTGGGGAGGGCCTGACCTGGTTATTGGGAGTTACCCCTCACCCCCCCACCCACCCACCCAGCCTCTTTATTGTGGGCTTTTAGACAAGCAGCCAATTTTCAACCTGCCCAACTCTATCCAGGCCTCACTTCTGGGGCTGAAATTCCTTTCTCAGGAATTAACACCAGGATGCTTTGTCGCGGAACCTCTTGTGCAGCTTTATTGCCAGTCTATTTCCCACAGGGATTTGCCAATCCCCAAGCTGGTGTGCCCTGGATCGTAGTATGGCCACTTCTTTGGGCAGCTGGATGCAATCAAGAAAGAACAATATTTGTTGTTTACATTTAATCGGAGATCTCTGTGCTGTTTATTGACTTCTTTCTTTCCCTATGGCTCCATGGGCATGAGCAATGCTCGAAGCAGATGGCAAGTGAGTTCCTCTTTTTGCTCTTTGTCTGCTGCCAATTCCAGAGCTCTTTGTAACACATCGAGCTCCTCTCCTTATTCCACATTTTCTTGTAGTTACAGCAAGCAGAGTATATACCATAAACTTTTGTTCCACATTGGATTTCCTGGCCACTTGGATGAGGAGAACCGTTGCTGCTACAGCTCATAGGCAAAAGCACAAAAAGGAGGTAAAAGTGTGGATACGAAGGATAAACGTGGCTGGAGCCCATGGAGTAACAGGTAAAGGGAACTTCAGTGAGGGTTTTTTGGCAAGTTCTGTAACACCGAAGGAGCTGCACTAACCCAAATCAAGAGTTCCAGTACAAGGTCATCTGGGTTATTGGAGCACTATGTGAAAACTACATGGAGAAACCACATTTCTATGACCCTCCAGGACAATAAAAATTATTTCCTAAAAGTGGTGGAGTCATGCAAATTATTTACAGAGAAAAGTGCTGGTTTTTTATCAGGTCAGTAGCCCATTTTAATGAATATTTTAAATTATGATGTATAAATACTCTGTAGCAAAGTTACCCCCTTGAGCTGCAGGAACAGGAGAGATCCACTGTAAGTCCGAGCTGATAAAGAATTCCAGCTTTCTGATACCTCCAGTTCCATCAGAGAGTTCACTCCAGCTGATTTCGGTATCAGGGGCTGGGGAGGAACTTGGGACGGGGATTGCAATCCTGGGGGGACCCTGGGGAGTGACAGGACTGGGATTGGGGTCATGGGGTGACCTGGGCAAAAGTGAAGGGGGACACGGGATGGTGGGAGTGGGATTGGGGTCATGGGAGGGACTGGGAGACATTGTGGCGCAGGAGGTGATGCCCAGGTTTGGGCTGAGGTTCCTGGGTTGACACCAAAGAAATTGGTGACCGGGAGTGGAATTGGTATCTGGGGACGGGCCAAGGGGGACACTGGGGGTCTCAAGGAGTGACTCTAGGATTTGGGTCAGGGTCCTGGGGAACCTGAGGAAACTTGAAATCTTGGGAGTAGGATTTGGCTTCTGGAGCGGCCAGGAGGACATAGTACTGTGGGATTGGGATTGGGGTCCCTGGGGGGCTGAGTGTTCCAGCCAGGAATACCAGGACAACTTCCACTTCAAAACACTGCAATTCCTGCTGACCCAGGCCCTGGAGATGATGAGGCAGAGGCAAGCTCAGGTACCATGTTGTTGGGACATGTTCTGGGGGGTGCGCGGGGTCCCCTTTGAGGCACAGCATGGTGACACCATCTGGTTCGGTCAATTCGCATTGGCGTCACAGAGCAAGACATCTGCCTAGTGCTTCGGGATAGACACGGTGTTCCTGATGCACAGGTGCCACAGTGTGGAAATCTGGAAATTCTCCTGCTGAGAAGGACACGCTGATCCCACTCTATGAGACCTTCAATGCCACTGAAGTCACCCCAAAAGGGAACAAGGCACAGATCCAGCTCCACTCCTCTGGGACCTTCAGCAAATACAGCTGTGAGTGGTTGTGAGGTGACGCCACAAGGGACTGTCTGGGGGGATGGGGACACCCACTGTGGCCATGGGGACACCCATGACAGGGCACAAGGAACAATGAAACTCACTGGACATGGTGGACAGGGACACCCACTGTGGACAGGTGACACCCATGAGAGGGTACAGAAGGTGGGGACATTCACTGAGAGTTTAGGGACAGAGACACTCACTGCTGGGGACACCCATTGTGGGAATGCGGACAGAGGACACCCATGACAGGGCACAGGGATGGAGATCCCCATAACTGGGAAGGACCAGGGACAGGGACAGCCCTGCCAGGGGACAACAGGGACAGGGACAGGGTCAGGGGCCCCCCTGTACTGTCCCTCGCCACCAAAGGCAGTGCTGTGGGGATGGGCCCTGTGTTCTGGAAGCGAGTGGGCCTGGACCTCGCATGGCACTCCCTGAGCCCTTGTTACTCCCTGGCCTGGGGCCAGGATGGATCCAGAGGGCATTGGGAAGAGCAGGGCCAGGAAGTGAGGGAGTGATTGTGGCCCTCTGCCCTACCCAGTGAGGCACATCAGGAGTGCTCTGTCCAGCTCTTACCAGTGCTGTTTCCAGCCAGAATCCCCAAATCCCAGACCGGGTCAGGCTGGAAGGACCCAGAGTGGGCACCTGGCCCAACCTCCCAGCTCAGGCTCATCCCTGAGCAAAGGATTGGGTCCAGAGCAGCCCAGAACAGGACATGGCACTGGATAGAACTGGATACAGCACTGGACAGAGCTAGACACAGCAATCCTGATGGGCCTCACAGGGGGCAAAGGGGTACAAACACTGCCTGACTTTCTGGGCCTGCTCTTCCTGGTGCACTCTGGATCCCTTCTGCCCCCAGGCCACATGGCCAGCCCCAATGGTCACCAACCAGCACCCCCAGGTCCTTTTTCACAGCTGCTCCAGCAGGTTCCTCCCAGCCTGGACAGACACTGGGGACTGTCCCTCGCAAAGGGACAGGACCTGCCCTTCTCCTCTTGAATGTCCTAAATTCCAGCCTTTAAGGTCCTCCTGAAGTGCAGGATGTGGCAGGATGCTCTGCCTGGAATGTGGCCAAGGGACAATGACCAATTTGGGGCCATTGGGGCTGCATTGAGTGGAGTCTTGTGCTGATTTGCTTTGTTGAATTGGGCGAAAACCAGCCCAAATCACCAACCCCGAACTGACAACTGAGGGTAAACCACCAGAGCTGGGCCTGGCTGTCATCACCTGACCCTGGGAATGTCCTGTCCCCCCTCAGACAGCAATTCCTCTCCCCTGTTCCTGCTGGAAACGAAATGTGTGTGAGGTTCCTCCCTCGGGAAGGGAATGCTCCCCAAGGTCCTCCTTGAGGCTGAGAGAAAGAGACGCTCCCACGAGTGTTGGTGTGGGGAGTGACACTGAGCCCCGTTTAGGAATTCTCAGTTTTTGCTGGCTTTGTCAGATTTATTTAATGGAATTGTTATGATTGAAATATTTAATAGAATTGTTTGCACCATGGCCTCGGTGGGCACAGTGGTCACAGTGGCTGTGGCAGCCTTGGAGCTGAGGGAGTCTTGGTGATGATGGTGGCCACGGCTGCCACAGTGACCACAGAGACCTCGGTGACCTTGGTGGCCTAGAGCTCAGAAGATCCCAGGGACGCTCCCATCTGGGGGACAAAGAGGGGTGGGGAGTGAGCGGGTTGGGAATGGCCAAAATGGGGGCTAGGGGTGGCAGGAGAGATGGGGGCCATGAGGTGACAGGTGACAGGATGTCGTGGGTGGGGGCTATGGGGGGTAGAGGGGCTAGGTAGGTCAGTGGGGTCACGATGGGCTTAGGGATGACAGGGGTCAGGGGGAGTCAGGGGGTGCCATGGGGGGTGACAGGGGAGTGAGCCAGGACCCCCTGTGGCACTCCCTGTTACCTCCTTGGCATTCCCTGACTCACCATGATCCCGCTGACCTCCCTGGTGCTTCTATCCCCCCATGCTGCCATCAGACACCCTGTCACCTCATGGCCCCCAACTCACCTGTCACCCCAACCCCCCCATTATGGCCATAACTGACCCCTTCATTCCCCACTTGGCAGCCCTCACCCCCCTCTTTGTCCCCCATGTGGGAGCATCCCCAGGGACCCCTTCCACTTTGGAGGACCCCTCCTGGCCACCACAGCCCTGGCAGTGGCCACCCGAATTCTCTGAGCCATCAGGCCACCAAGGCCACCGAGGTCACTGTGGTCATTGTGGCAGCCGTGGCCACCACGATCACCAAGACTCCCTGAGCCACAAGGCTGCCACAGCCACTGTGACCAGTGTGGCCACCAAGACCATTGTGCAACGCAGTTCTATTAAATGATTCTATCAAAACAATTCCATGAAATAATTCTGGCAATGGCAGTTGCCATGGTCATTGCCAGCAGCGCCAGGGTGCGAGCCTGGAGGGACGTGGTGGGGAGAAGCCAAGGGGAGAAGCCAAGGGACTGGTGTGGGACACTGGGGGACAAAAGGGGACACACTGAAGGGACAATTAGGGCACACAGGGGTACATGGGAAGGCTCCCTCTGTGAGGGGCTGAGGTGGGGGTGGGGGAGGGAGGCCAGCCCAGGAGAAGGGGGCAGCTCCAGTGAGAAGACAACTGGACACATCCTGGAATGCAGATCTGAAAACCTGGGGTCATTCCAGGACTCCCCAGTGCCCCTCAGACCCCCAGGACAACAATCCCACTCCCATGGTCTCATATTCTCAACCCTTTGAGGCCTCCCAGGACCACGATTCAAATTATGGGGTCACTCCCTGACCCCCCAGCAGTGCGCCCCATGACCCCAATCCCACTGCCACAATGCCCCCCTGGACCCCACTGCTGACTTCCCCCCAGTGTCATTCCTGTGCCCACAAGCCCCACGAGCCCACTCCCAGTCCTGTGTCCCTTCCCCCTTAGTGTCGCCGCAGCCCCTCTGCAGTTCCCCAGCCCAAACCCTGGGGACAACCCCTGACCTCCCCAGTGCCCCACCAGTCCCGTCCCAGTCCCAGTCCTGTGTTTACCCTTCTGATGTCCCCCCAGGGCTCCCCAGGAACTCAAGCCTGCTCCCAGTCCTCTGAAGACTTCTTGTGATGCCGGGATGATTACAAACCTCAACTAAATCCCTAAAGCCACTCGCTCACCAGCCCCAGTGTGCTCCCTGGCCCTCTCCCAGACCCCACTTCCACTCCCAGTCCTGTGACCCTTGAGGTGTCACCCCAGGACTCCAACCCAAATGCAGGGGTCACCCCCTGCTCCCACAATGTCCCCTGGTGCCTCCCATGGCCGCAGTCCACAATCCCAGGCCCGTGTGCCTGTCTCAAATGACCCCATTGTCCACCAGCCCCTGATGCTGAAACTGGCTGGAGTGAACTCCCTGATGGAAGTGGAGGTATCAGAAAGCTGGAATTCTTTATCAGCCAGTGAAGGTTTTGAATCCAAAAGGATTTTTTTAAAGCACATCAGGCATTGCTCTGTAACAGACATGACAGTTTTGTCCTACAGTCACCAAGTATGAAATACATGTTCACACTTCTGTGAAAATTTAAGAAGTTTAATAAAGGACAATAGGAGACAAAGACAGTAAAGCAAAGATTATGGCCAGGTGTGTCTTCGCACTCAGCCAAGAGTGTGCCTTCACCCACAGGGATACCCCTTAAATACCTTTTCTATTCCATCCCCTCTCAAACAGAGATTCCCCTCCCCAATTCCTGCTGGGAATGAAATGTGTGTGAGAATTCTCCCTTGGGAAGGCGATGCTCCCAAAGGATCCTCCTCAAGATGGAGAGAAAGAGATGTTCCCACGAGTGTTGCTGTGGGGAGTGACATCAAGCCCTGCTGAAGAATTATATCTTTCCACCAGCTTTATCAGAATTATTTAATGGAATTCTTTTGATAGAATTATTTAATAAAATGGCTGTGCACAGTGGCCTTGGTGGCCACACTGGCCAGGGTAGCTGTGGCAGCCTTGAGGCTGAGGGATTCGTGGTGATCGTGGTGGCCACGATTGCCACAGTGACCACAGTGACCTCGGTGGCCTGATAGCTCAGAGAATTCTGGTGGCCACTGCCAGGGCTGTGGTGGCCAGGAGGGCTCCTCTGAGGTGGAAGGGGTCCCTGGGGATGCTCTCACCCAGGGGACAAAGAGGGGAGTGAGGGGGAACATGTGGAGAGTGAAGGGGTCAGTTACGGCCATAATGGGGGGGTTGGGGTGACAGGTGAGTTGGGGGCCATGAGGTGACAGGGTGTCTGGGGTGGCACAGGGGGATACAGGGACTACAGAGATCAGGGGTGTCATGGTGGGCTTAGGGGTGACAGGGGTCAGGGGGAGTCAGGGAGTGCCAAGGAGGGAACAGGGAGTGCCATGGGGGGTTCAGGGAGTGCCACGGGAGGTTCAGGGAGTCCCAAGGGGGTATCAGGGAGTGCCATGGGGGGTTCAGGGAGCGCCAAGGGGGTATCAGGGAGTGCCAAGGGGGTAACAGTAAAGCCACTCCCTCACGCCCACAGTGTCCCCCAGGTCCCTCTCCAGACCCAATCCCTGTCCCTGTCCCTGTTGTCCCGTGGCAGGGATGGCCCTGTCCGTGTTCCCTCCCAGAGGTGGGGATCCCCATCTCTGTGCCCTGTCGTGTGCGTTCCTGTCCCCATGCCCACCATGGGTGTCCCCAGACTCGGTGCCCCCGGCATGTGGTGTCCCTGTCCCCAAAGTCTCAGGGAGTGTCCCCAGCCCCTGTGCCCTGTCATGGGTGTGCCCTGTACACTGTGGCTGTCCCCAGCATTGGGTATCCCTGTCCTTGTTTCCAGCTGCAGGTGTCCATGTCCCACCAACCACAGTGGATGCCCCTGTCCCCCACCCCCAGTGAGTCTCATTGTCCCCTGTGCCTTATCAGGGCTGTCCCCAAGGCCACAGTGGGTGGGTGTCCCCATGGCCCCAGGCTGTCCTGTGTGGCATCACCTCACAGCCATGCACAGCTGTATTTGCCAAAGGTCCCAGTGGAGCGGAGACTGACCCACGTCTTCTTCCCATTCTTGGCGACTTTGGTGACCTTGAAGGTCTCAAAGGGTGGGATCAACACCTCACAGTTGCTAGGATCGTAGGAAAAAGCCTGGATGCCCATACTGTGGCACATGTGGACATTGAATATGGTGTCTGTTCCGTATTTCTGGGCGATCTCTTTGCTCAGCGAGGTCGATGCGAATTGACCAGGGCTCCAGAACTCTTTCTGCCACACCAACAAGGCCAGGGAAGCCATCCCCCAAGAGATCACCCCAAGGCTGAAGGTGCCTACGGGGATGTCATCCGATAGGGGACCCCAATTCTTATCTGAGGTGTGTCAGCAACTCAGTGAGCAGCGGGGAGTGGGACTGGGAGGAACTGGGGGAACATGGGACGTTTCTCTGGGGGTCCTGATGGCCTTCCACAGTGACACAGCAGGGCAAAGGTTGCTGGAACCGGTGGTGGAACAGATAAAAGGAACTCCTGTGAGGGGTTTTTTGGCATGTTCTGAAACACAGAAGGAGCAGTGCCTGCAAAAGCAAAAGTTTGAGGCGAGGTCATCTGAGATATTGGGGCACTCAGTGAAAAATCACACACTGACACCTCATTTTTATGACTCTCCAGGACAATAAAAATTATTTCCTAAAAGAGGCAGAGCCATGCAGATTATTTACGGGAAAAGTGCTGGTTTTGTAGTAGGTAGGAAGGGCATTTTGATGAATATGTATAAGTATGATGGATAGATTCTATGATGTAAAGTCCCCCCTGACATGCAGGACCAGGAGAGATCTGCTGTGAGTCCAAGCTCATAAAGAATTCTGCCTTTCTGGTACCTCCAGTTCCATCAGGGAGTTCACTCCGTCCGATTTCGGTATCAGGGGCTGGTGGCCTTTGGGGACACCTGGGGGGGGGAGACGAGACCGTGGTATCAGGATTAGGGCCCTGGGGGGAGCTGTGGGGGACCCTGGGGGAGAATGTGACATGGGACTGGAATCCTGGGGGAAGCTGGGGGACACTGGGGGACATGCCACTGGGATTCGCTGGGCTTTGGGGGGCATTGGGACGGGGCAGGGGGCTGGGAGTGGGACTGGGGCCATGGGAAGGCCGGGGGACACTGCAGGGAGCAGGGGGTGATGCCCAGATTTGGACTGGGGTCCTGGGAGGGAGTGAAGGGACACTGGGGAAGGACTCAAGACTGTGGGTGTGAAATTTTGATCCTTGGAGGGACTGGAGGGCACGGGGACATCCAGGAGTGACCCCAGGATCTGAGATCAGGCTCCCAGGATGTGTACAGGGATCTCTTGGCAAAGGCTGCCCTCCCCCCGGGCTGACACCACCCTCCTTCCCCCGTCCCTGACTGAGGGACCTTCCCTGTGTCCCTCCATGTCCCTCTGTGCTCCCCCATGTCCCCTCAGCATCCTCTCGGTGTCCCATCAGTGTTCTGCCACGTTCCTCAGTGTTCCCTCTGTCCCGCAGTGTCCTCTCAGTTTCCCAGTGTCCCCCAGTGTCCCACACTGCTCATGGTGGCCTCTCCCCTCTCTGGATCCCCTGCTTTGGACCCTGGCACTGCTGGCAATGACCACGGCCACCGTGGCCATCACGGTGGTGCCCCTGGACATGGCCTGGGACTCCTTTGATGACCAGTACCGGGGCTGCCAAAGAGCCATGACCGAGATTTTGCCGGCCCTCAACCGCTTTGAGTTCCAGCAGAATCCTCTGTTCGCCCGGGTCTGGGTGAAGGCTGCGGCCGAGTGGTGGAGGCGGGGGCCCCCTGTGACCCCTCTGTCCCCAGCCCAGGCCGTCGCCCTCATGACCTACACAATGAAGGACGTGTACAAGGAGTTCAACGACGCCGTGCGCGCGGCCGGGCGCTCCCGCCAGGAATACCACAACAACTTCCACTTCAAAACGCTGCATTTCCTGCTGACCGACGCCCTGGCGACACTGAGGGACGCTCGGGGACCGCGATGTCACCATGTGTTCCGGGGGGTGCGCGGGGTGCGGTTTGAGGGGCGGCGCGGCGACACCGTGCGCTTCGGTCGATTCACGTCGACATCGCTGCGTAAACAGATCGCTCAGCAATTTGGGACAGACACGGTGTTCCAGGTGGAGACGTGTTACGGCGTAGACATCCGAGAATTCTCCTCCAATCCTGGTGAGGAGGAGGTGCTGATCCCGCCCTTTGAGACCTTCGAAGTCACGGGTGTCACCCAGGAAGGGGACAGGGCGTTGATCCAGCTCCGCTCCAGCGGGACCTTCAGCAGATACAGCTGCGAGTGGCTACGACATGACATCACAGGGAAAACCCGGAGGACAGGGACACCCACTGTGGGTATGGGGACATCCCTGATAAGGCACGGGGGACAATGACACCCACAGGTGATGGGGGGCAGGGACAGGGACACCCATGACATGGCACAGGGATGGGGACCCCCACATCTGGGAGGGGCAGGAGCACCCCTTCCACAGCAGGTCAGGGACAGGGATGGGGAAAGGGGCAGAGACAGGGACCACCCTGTGCTGACTCTGTCCCTGCTCTCTGCAGACCAGCTCTGTGGGGACCGGCCCTGTGTGCTCAATGCAGGTGGGCCAGGACCATCCTGACCCCCCCAACCCTCTCACACCCCCCTGACCCTGCTCATGGCACCCCCTATATACCCTGACCGCTGTCAGTCCTAAAGCCCACCATGTCCCCCCTGACCCCCCATCATCCCTAAAGCACCCATGGGCCCCTGACCACCAATCTCCTTCCTGGGACCCAGCCACTGGTCACCCCCAACCCTCCTACCAGCCACGGGCCCCATCTCTCCTCACCCTGTGTTACTGACCCCTCTGAAACTGTGACACAACCCATGGCCCTCCTGGCCCCCCTGATCCCCCCACCGTGGTCTTCCATCCAACCTGATCCCCCCTCATGGCCCCCTCGTACCCCTGTAAACCCTGACCCCTCTCTGACCCCCTTCAACCCCCTCACCTGCATGGACCACTCATCCCCTGCTTTTTCCTCCAAGGTAGGAGCATCCCCAGGGCCCCCTCCCACCTCAGAGGGCTCCTCCTGGCCACTACAGCCCTGGCAGTGGCCACCAGGATTGTCTGAGCCACGAGGCAACGAAGGTCACTGTGGTCTCCACGATCACCAAGGCCACCAGAACCCCCAGAGAAAAGAGGCAACCAATGCTACCGAGGCCACCACTGCCATTTTCCCTGGGTGAAAAAGTGGAAGAGAAGAGAAAAAGAAAATCCTACCTACTCCCCACCCCCCAACATTTCATTAACTGCCCTTTCAACTTCTTTGGACATTCATTTATTTGCATTCTTGCCCAAATTCTGTGTTTTCCCACATATTCAGTATTTAAAGCCAAGCAAACTCTATTTCCACATCCCAATTAATTCAACCTAGAAAGAAATAAGAGGAATGTTTTTTTACAAACAGATTGTGTGGATCTGGTGGTAGTTAAGGCCTGGGACTTGTAGATAAGGAAGTGACTGGAGAAACTATCAGTTTCAGAAAATGCTCCTCATTGACATGGACCGCAGCTCAGCCAAGGTCCTGCGAAACTCCTGAACTTTGAGAAGAAGAACAAAGACTTAACACACTTAGGAATATTGATTTCCCCACTCAGGGTGAAGTTAAAGCTCATTTTAGTGGTCATGTGTCTGTGTTACAGAAGAGCAAGGTGCATAGCAAGGGGGACGTGCGGTAGCTGGATTGGGAAGTCTGCACCTTCCGAATACCTCTGCCAATGGGGAAGGGGAGTGGGAGATACGGCTGGGAAATCGGGATAAAAAGGAGGCTGCATCATCCAGCAATTTGAGAGACCCCATGGGGAAATTCCCCGTGGCCTCTCGCTTTTTTCATGAATAAAATTACAAGACTCTTGTGTCTCCTTTGTGCAAGGAAACCTCTGGCAAGGTGAATTTTTCTGCTCAAATGTTCGATAGCAAAAATGTTGTTCCACTTGAATCCTAAGCGCTATGCTTAGCTGCAGCCAGACTCTCAGCCACAAAATGGCAGCTCTGCCTTTTATACCTCCGGTATTGAATCAGCCAAATACATATGCATAAGCAGTCATACACGTAAAAAAAAAAGCTCTGTTTTATATCCCTGAGCCCTCCCAAAGCCGGCCAGTTGACGCTTCCTTGCTGTCTATTGGTGGAGACCTTCCTGCAGTCTGATTGGAGGTGAGGTTTTTGTCATGCCACGCCTCCCCAGCAATAGCTTCTCCCATTCCCAATGCCCAGGGACACAGGTACACGCCCTCCGTCCACGTATCCCTGACAGCCCTGGAAACCAGGGCCGTCCAGTGGCAACAATACAGAGAGGGGGAAAGGGGACTGTGAGGAGAGCAGTGGGTGTCCAAACAACTACAATAACATAACCATGCATCAACAAATAGACGCAATATTCATCCCTCAATTGGAAGAGTCAATCGTCATATTGCCCATCTATACCAAAGCTGTGGCTGCCCCGTCCCAGGAAGGGTCCAAGGCCAGGCTGGGTGGTGTCTGGAGCAGCCCGGCCCGGGGAAGATGTCCCTGCCCGTGGCAGGGCTGGCACCGGCCGCGCTTTAAGGTCGCTCCATCCCAAACCATTGCAGAGCCCCCGGGGCCGCCATGGGGCGGGGCGGGGCTCGGCAGCGCCAGCAGCTCGTGCTGCCGCCTGCTGTTGGCACCCGGAACTGCAGCCGGCAGCCGCGCATGCGCAGTGCCGCTGATTTAAACCGCCCTCGCTGCTGCCCTCCTGTGGACAATTCCCGAACCGCAGCTGCCAGAATCCCCAAATCCCAGAATGGGTCAGGCTGGAAGGACCCAGAGTGGGCACCTGGCCCAACCTCCCAGCTCAGGCAGCGTCATCCTGAGCAAAGGACTGGGTCCAGAGCAGCCCAGAACTGGACATGGCACTGGGCTGAGATGGACACGGCACTCCTGATGTGCCTCACTGGGCAGGGCAGAGGGGCACGATCAATCCCACACCTCCTGGCCCCACCCTTTCCAATACCCTCTGGATCACCCCTGGCCCCAAGACACACAGCCAGCTTCACTGATCACCCACCAGGTCTGTCGCCCTGATTTTTTAAGATTTTCTAAGCCTTCTGATGTTTGCATTCTTGTATCAAACTTTCTCACACACTTTCTGTAAACAACTTATTGTTTTGCATTCTTTTATGGAGGAGGTGAAACTTGATGGACTGTTGGTTTGTCCAGTGTCATTGGAGAGGTGGCACTTTCACCCTCCAATCCACTGTCACCTTTGGAAATCTATAAATGTTAAAGTCAGAAAATAAACTTTCCTGCCTTGAGAGCAACAGCGTGTCTGTGTCGTGTTGTCTCGTGTCCTATAGTGACACAGGTCCTTCTCCAGAGGTGCTCCAGCAGGTCCCCCCCACCTAGACTGGCACTGGGGACTGTCCCTCCCAAAGGGACAGGACCTGCCCTTCCCCTCTTGAACATCCCAATTTCCAGCCTTTAAGGTCCCCCTGAAGTGCAGGATGTGGCAGGATGCTCTGCCTGGAAATCATGGGTGTCCCCAGGGCCACAGTGGGTGTCCCCAGTGGCTGTCCCCTGTGCTGTCCACCTAACTGACCTCGCAGTTGTGTTTGGTCAAGGACCCCACGGAGTAGAGAGTGATCCATGTCCTCTCCCCGTCCCAGATGACTTTTCTGACTTCAAACATCTCGAAGGGCGGGATCAGCACCTCCTCCTCCCCTGGATACATGGAGAACTGACGGATGTCCGCGCTGTGGCATGTGCGCACCTCAAAAATCGTGTCTGTCCCAAATTGCAGAGCCACCTCTTTGCTCAGTGACGTCGACGTGAATTGACCGAACCGGACCGTGTCGCCTTGCTGTGCCTGGAAACGAACACCACGCACGCCCCGGAACACGTTGTGACACTGCTCGTTCTGAGCGTGCCTCAGCGTCTCCAGGGCGTTGGTCAGAAGGAAATGCAGCGTTTTGAAGTGGAAGTTGTCCTGGTATTCCTGGTGGGAGCGCCCGGCCCTGCGCATGGCGGCGTTGAACTCCTTGTACACGTCCTGCGACGTGTAGGTCATGAGAGCCAAGGCCTGCCAGTGGGATGCCAGAGGGGACACAGGAGAGCCCCGCCACTCCCACTCAGCTCTAGCAGCTACCCAGCCCATGGCAAAAGCAGGATTGATCTGTAACTCGGAGTTGTGGAGCTCCTGCAACTTTGCATTCATGGCAGGGACACAGCCCTCGTACCGGTCATCAAAGGCGTCCTCTGCCAAGTCCAGGGGCACTACCTGGATGGCCACGGTGGGCACAGCCAATGCCAGCAGTGCCAGGGTGTGAGCCAGGAGGGCCATGGCGGGAAGGGGCCACCACGAGCGGTGTGGGACACTGGGGGACAAAGAGGGGGTGACAGGGGATGACAGGGGTTCAGGGGGTGCTGTGGGGTTTGTGGCCCAGCCACATCCAGCACACGGGGCCCATCCCCACAGCACTGTTTTGGTGGGGAGGGACAGGGTCGGTGCATGTGGGACCCAGTCTCTGTCCTCTCCTGGCAGGGCTGTTCCTGCCCCTGTCCCTTCCCTGAAGTGGGAATCCCCATCCCTGTGCCCTGTCATGGATGTTCTTGCCCTCATGCCCACAATGGGTGTCCCCAAATTTGCGGTCTCCAGCACTGGGTGTCCTTCTCCCCACAAACACAGTGGTTGCCCCTGTCCCCCATGCCCAGTGAGTGTCATTGTCCCCTGTGCCATATCATGGGTGTCCCCAGGGCCACAGTGGGTGTCCCCAGTGGCTGTCCCCTGTGCTGTCCACCTAACTGACCTCGCAGTTGTGTTTGGTCAAGGACCCCACGGAGTAGAGAGTGATCCATGTCCTCTCCCCGTCCCAGATGACTTTTCTGACTTCAAACATCTCGAAGGGCGGGATCAGCACCTCCTCCTCCCCTGGATACATGGAGAACTGACGGATGTCCGCGCTGTGGCATGTGCGCACCTCAAAAATCGTGTCTGTCCCAAATTGCAGAGCCACCTCTTTGCTCAGTGACGTCGACGTGAATTGACCGAACCGGACCGTGTCGCCTTGCTGTGCCTGGAAACGAACACCACGCACGCCCCGGAACACGTTGTGACACTGCTCATTCTGAGCGTGCCTCAGCGTCTCCAGGGCGTCGGTCAGAAGGAAATGCAGCGTTTTGAAGTGGAAGTTGTCCTGGTATTCCTGGTGGGAGCGCCCGGCCCTGCGCATGGCGGCGTTGAACTCCTTGTACACGTCCTGCGACGTGTAGGTCATGAGAGCCAAGGCCTGCCAGTGGGATGCCAGAGGGGACACAGGAGAGCCCCGCCACTCCCACTCAGCTCTAGCAGTTACCCAGCCCATGGCAAAAGCAGGATTGATCTGTAACTCGGAGTTGTGGAGCTCCTGCAACTTTGCATTCATGGCAGGGACACAGCCCTCGTACCGGTCATCAAAGGCGTCCTCTGCCAAGTCCAGGGGCACTACCTGGATGGCCACGGTGGGCACAGCCAATGCCAGCAGTGCCAGGGTGTGAGCCAGGAGGTCTGCCTTTTTCTGGAAGTCCTTTTATAGTACATGATGGTCATCCAAAGGGGTGTCTGCGTGTGGTTTTCACTGAGTGCCCCAATATGCCAGATGATCTTTCCTGCAACTTCTGCTTTTTGCAGGCACTGCTCCTTCTGTGGTCCAGCACTTGGAAAAGACCCTCACTGGAGTTCCATTGTCTGTTTCTCCATGGATTCCATCCACGTTCATCCTGGGCATCCAGACCTCTCACTCCTTTTCTTGCTTTTTCCCCTTCATCTATAATATTTGTACTATTGAGGGATCTGAAACTTTCTTTCTCTCTCTTATTGCTCACAGCCCAGATCCCCAATTCCACTCCCACAGTCCCATGCAAACGTAGGAACTCACTTGACATTCACTTTGAGCATGGCCCATGCCATATGGAGTCATATGGAAAGAAAGAAGTCAATGACAGAACAGGGATCTCTAATTAGATGTAAACAAAAATTATTGTCCCTCCTCGATTCCACCCAGCTGCCCAAAGAAGTGGCCGCGCTACAATCCAGGGCACACCAGCTCGGGGATTGACAAATCCATTTGGGAAAAACACTTGCAATAAAGTTCAC